CACACACACACACACACACACAAACGCACACCAGTTCTAAATAGAGTGAATGCAAATTCAGTGATGCAGGCTGTTGTCATTCAACAGTGTGTGAGTAGTTTCCAAGTGAAAGTGACACGGACTATTTGCACAAGTTGCTTATCCACAATGATCTGACCTGGTCGTCTCAAACTACTGTATGTTGTTTCTCCTATACAGTGGCGATGACGAATACCATGTGAAGAAAGCAGTGAAACATCTATCGTGTATTCTTCAGTTGTTTTGAACATTATTGATATAAAATGTTTGAAATTGACTTGGACAGATTATGCGTGTCTTCTAGACCGACCGATCTTATCGCTTGCTACTTCGTTTCGTAATGATCTCGTTTGATGTTACTGAATACTTTGTTTCGTTGCTCTTATCCAGAGACAACCAGACACATCACGGACAGAAGTGAGTGAACCATCATGTATTATGGATTTTGAATAGTTGTAAGCATTACTGAATATGTGTGCCATATGCATATTGAAAGATTGAAAGTGGACTTCATTGTAAGAGAGCATTCGTTGAATAATGAGATGACGAAAGTGTTGCCTGCGAATCAATGTCTGTGACAAATTGTTAGCATATTCATCAGATATCGTAAGGAAATTATTTTGTAAGTCTAATTCTATTGGTCAATGCCTATTGGTGAATAGTTAAGGTCGTCCTAAACTATCAAGTTCACATACTTTTAAATGTTCTTTCCTACGTGTTAGTATTCACGGTCGACCTAACTGTATAAATATGCATTGTCTGTAAATTCTATGCTCCTCTTCTCCTTCTGTACAAGACCTCGATTATCTGGGTGCCTGCAGAATACACTTTCTTCGCCATATCGAGACATTTTGATACCGTTGGCAGGACCTTTGGACGCTCGGATTAGAGTACCTCTTGGTGTCAATGGATCGCATGGCTTAGCTCTCGTTTACCGAGAAAGGTGAACTCGTAATAGTTCAAGCATATCAATTGACGAGTCATAACACAAGTTCGAATAGAATTTGGAAGGTGCGCAACTTCCACTAAGTGTTTGCAGTCATCAAATCTGATGACAGTTTGTTGTGTGCTGTGACTCGACCAGTAAGTAGTGTTCGAGAAAACAACTTTCACGAGGTTTACATGAATCATCTTATTTTGTTGCTACAGGAACACTACTACACATCCAACCACAAAGTGAGTGAATTGTTGATTGTATATTGTCAAATGGCTTAGCATATTATTGAATTAAATGATTCAACTTATCAAGGCTGATGCATTTAATGTAATTTGGCAGTCAGTGGATAAATCCCATGTGCTCATGTATTGTATATGGGCAGTTTAGATGAATGTAGAAGAAGGTGATTCATTGCGTTCGTCGATTTCAATTGTGTGTGCGCATACGCACACACACACACACACACACACACAAACGCACACCAGTTCTAAATAGAGTGAATGCAAATTCAGTGATGCAGGCTGTTGTCATTCAACAGTGTGTGAGTAGTTTCCAAGTGAAAGTGACACGGACTATTTGCACAAGTTGCTTATCCACAATGATCTGTCCTTTTTTGACCTTTTCTTGGTTTGCGCCTTTTCCTTTTTTTTTTATTTTGATTGTTCTCATGATTTTTCCGAATTTTGGTTGTATTAATTTTACTTGTTTTTTATTTTTTTGGTTTTATTTTCAATATTGTTTTAATTTTTTTTTTGTCCACTTCATCTTACGTCGTTTCTTGTTCCTTTGTCTTTAGATTCGTATTTCACATGTTTTGTTACGTGTCATTGTAGTTTACTTTCATAATTCTTAGAGCTGTTATTCTTAATCTATGCAGTATCCCGCGCAGAGTCTAGTGTTTGCAGTTTAGTGGGCGAATAAATTGACGTGGATTTTCAGAAATCTATGTTTCGTGGGAACGAAATCGATGAACTCACCTGAATAACTTTAAACTTTAAACAGCAATTAATCTGAGGCTTTTAATTATCGATTTTTATCATCTGACGTTCTACTCTTGTCAGCATGTCTCTTTTCAAGTGTCACTGTCTTCATGGATTCTTTCAACCTATTCCTAAATTTTAAAATATACCTCAACGAGGCCTTCGGTGGTTAGACATACGCAACATATGTCTTAATCACCCTAAATGATGAAGTTTCAATAATTCATCCCTATCTAGCACATTATCCTCACAGCGGCAATTTTTACTCGGTCGTCCCAAAATACTCGAGCAATGTTTTGAAGATACGTTGGTCCAAAACAAGCAACCTACGTATTATATATGTTCTGATTGGTCATGTTTCATAGCTATAAGGTAGAACGGAGCATACTCGTCCTTTATTTAGCGAATGGATATCTCAGCTACGTCATAAGTGACGCAAGTGGGAGAAAGCCAAACGAGCCTCCTTTATCTGTCCCGAGATTATGTCACATACCAGGACATTAGCTTTGATGAGACTCTTAAGATAAGTTAATCGGTCAGCATGCTTACCTACTTCACTCTCCATCACTAGTTCATGTGACGGATCGAGCCATTCCTAAAGCAACGTTTTGCATTTCGGCATTCAAAACATGCTTGCATTGTTGCTGCATTTTGTGAGCTTCTTCACCAAGTAGAAATAAGTCGTCGGCATATTCTAAGTCGGGGAGTGAATCTCCTGGTAAATGTTTAATTCTTGAAACGTCAGATGAAGAAAATGTGTAGCTGTGTCCCAGGACTTATCATAGTGTTAAAATATGGTCTATACATCCACGTCCATGACTGCAAGCGGCCTGGCTTTTTCTAGTTTCTTCACTAGCTCTAGTTAGGCGTCTGAGGAAAATAGAGGTTAAAGATTTAGAAACTATATTAGTTGGAATCATTCCCCTGTGATTTTCAGCAGGAGACGTTTTTCATTTCTTACAATCGACTAAATCGTATGTAATGAGAATTAATAATAAACCCATCCTTTTCTGAGATAGATCAGCTAACAGATGGATATCAAATAACATTTTCATTGATAAGTCGGAACAACTGTCTGCTGTTGGCTATCGCCGGTGCATTTTGTATCTCTTTCTCTTTCGCTATCCTTCAGTGTTTGCCATCGTTACGTAGGCCTTTTATTAGCGCGTGCTTAAGCTGACTTCGCGTTTCGTCATGTTCAGAGCCAGGTGGGATGAGTTTACGAGCGTCTATCAGTATGGTGAATGTTACTAAGATCCACGGCTTCCCCCTAACCTTATGGTTTATTTTACTAGAAGATATCACTACTGTTTCTAAAGCCTTTTTGCTATCGATCCAAGCTGTATCAGGGTGGGTTTCACTTACTACATGGTCCCGAACTGTTTTTCTGTTTGTTCCTGAAATATATTCTTAGCTTCATTATTATTAAGAAGAGCTCCTAGAGGTTTCCTTACGACCTTATCTGGTCGTCTTACACTAATGTATGTTGTAGATTTACGAGATTTTCAGATCCATGTGACTTCGCTTTATTCTTAATAATCTGGTTTCACCATATTAAAGCAACTTACTTTCTTTCTTTGTCCAGGTATTATGATAAACAAGGTTTACAGTAGTGAGTATATCATGTGTCTTCTAATCTACATTTCCACGGGCTTGTATTTTTACCCAGATGTTTGTGATTTTAAAGTCACAAAAAGCAAACTTACAGTATCTATGTATGAAAGAAGCTAAAGAGACAATGAATTTACAGTATATATATCCAAACCAGAAAAATGTACAACCTTTGAAAATATCTGGTGTATAATATTCAACCCACTGTGTATAAAGGGATACAAAGCCCTAATAAGATTCCCACGTTATTTTTTCTTCAAAGCACTAATCAGATACTCCGATCTAGTAAACTTTTCTCAAAACTGACAGGTTCCAAGGCAGAAGCGGTATGATCTATCACACAATGGGATTCTTTCAGGGGAAATTTCAGATTATCAGGCGTTAGCCTATAAACCAAAATATTAACGTTGATCGAAAAATTGCAGCAAAGCTTATAAAATTGTGATAGATGTATTTCATCGCATAATACTTAATCAACCGACTATAGCCTACGCACAAAATAGTGCAGCTTATCCCTAAAACTTTCAACAATAGATCAAATCCACAAGTTCTTCAGGAAGCTATTTTTTGAGGAGATGGAACATCATGGAACATAAATAACAGTATATCATGCGGCAACATGGCTACAATAAAGTATTTCTCAGATATATAAATATAAGCAAAAAGCACTGTAATTTAAGCAGCATCAAATTTACTGTGCCTATTACTATGGAGAAATTTGACTTGATTTCTTTTATTTAGTTCAACAATTAATCATACAATATCAGGGTGAGTGATTTGTCTGTTGTCACTCATTTATTTTCGTCATCCCTAACGTTTATAATATACTACCTCTGAAATTTATGTTCCAACTATCTTGGAATAACACTGGAAAACAACAACTGCCAGTTGTAGCAATAAATTGAACACTGAATGTGACCTACATCCTGAACCATAACTCTCAATTATTCAACTGCCATGAACGAAAACATCACTGATAACCATGAAGTTAACCTGAAATCCTCTGATTGCAGAAGTTATGGGGTGTTGATTGGTTTGCATAGTTGTCATCAAAACATGTACAGACCAAGGAACGCGTAATACTGACTAAGCAAAGTTAAACGAAATCAAAGAGAAGTATGTTGTTTTAATGTCAAATCAAAATGAAACATTGCTCATTTATAATTTCTTGAGGAAATATTCGTCACGAATCAAATGTAATGTAAGATCATTTAGGCATGTATTTGAGAACAATATATTTTCTCGCCTACATAAATCCAAACTCGGAAAGATGAGTTTGTGACAGTATGAAATTCCTTGAATTGTGTTGTTCACTCCTTTACCGGATATCGGTGACCGCGTTAATTCCTTTGACCGATTGTAGTGCCTTTAGGAAATAGTTCATACACATTAAAGTAGTTAATTAAAGGTTACTGCAAAAGTAGCGAATGACCAGAGATATCCGATGACGAATCATGGTCACAAATTGTAAACGTGAGGTAAGTTTAGATTGGATACGAGGTCTTCAAAGCTTCACTCACTTTACCGTTCAAGGTCTTGAATTGTGCTGTTGTCTTTTCTCAATATACAGAATCATCTTATTTTCTTGTGTCTATTTGATAATAACAGCCAAGCATCAGTTAGGTTAGTCAGTTTCATTTTAAGATTGTTCAAATTGTTTAATTTAGTTATACTGTCTGTAACTTATATATCAGTGTTCAACTTACCTATATACATGCAAACTCATACTATGGCTTGCGTGAAATAAAAGTTGAAATAAATTTGCAATATCGTCGAATGTTAAAGTTGCAATCCATTTGACAGCTGCAGATCATAAGAATAAAGTTCACAGTCGAATCCTGACAAATAGCTAAATAGTTTTGCACTGAAGGAAGAAGATTGGTTGCCTACATAGTGTGGGGTGAGTAAGCCTCTATGAAAGACAGTTCACTATATCACTGCATTTTTTCAGTTGTGATTTACATAGACCTAATCATCTTGAAACAAAAGCATAAACAACACATTTTTCTAAATGTTAATCAGTTGATTTGGTATCCGCTTCTTTTGATCACATTTCTTTTCTAATGCACTGTATGAAACAGTCGCCTTGTAGTATAACTTTATCCATACATGTCAACTAAGTGTGAACACAGAAGATTTCCAAAGAGTGTGAATGACCGATTCTATGGTAAAGGCTATTGTCATTCAAGATTATGTGAGTATTTTCAAAGTGAAAGTAACACAAACTATTTGCACAACTTTCTTATTCACAATGAACTCAACGGATCTTATCAAATTTTTTTACATTCCACTTATCAGTGTAAATGGTTCAAGCAATTCTTCAAAGTAAGTGGATATTATACATTTTCTTCTCTGATTTATTGTTTTTAAATTCCATTTGACCGTTTATAATTGATGGAAGTGTTATACGTTTGTTGAATGAACTTATGAATACAAATTTTTGGACCTCAGTCGATTTTAGATATGTGATTCGTAAAGTAATTACTGAAGTTGATTATACGGAATGTTTACTTGCTATTGATCATAATATTTAACTAACTATTAACTAATGAAATTAAAGTGTTTGAGCACTATAGACATAAATTCATGTTGAAATTAGATTCACAATTTGTTCATTCTTGTACTTCCATTAAAAAAGTGATTTTTCTGCTATCTATGGTATCTATTTAGCTATTTATATATGGCCTGTCCATTTCTTGTCCATTGATTAAAATTCATCGTCAACAGTTTACTTATAATTTCTCTACATTTATTTGGCACATATTCACCCTCAAGATGGAAAAGATTTTGAAGAGACCATAATGATCTGTAGAAGGTATTCACCATAAATTGATTTTGTTCATTCTTCTTATGTCTATCTCCAGTTCTGGGCGTAGTTTGTTCCTTGGCCTCCATCTTTCCATTGATCCTGAGGGATCCAAGTGACGTCTTGTCTTGTGAAACAGTTGGGTGCATTCCGTAATGTGTGTCCTATACTTTTACAGCGCTCCTTCCTGCTTCTTCCTCCACCATGATCTTGTCTGTTCCTCCCTACACTAGATTGTTACTGATGTCGTCTGGCCAACGGATTTTGCGCAGACAACTGCTATCAAATACTTGCATCTTCTGGATAAAGGCTTTCGTGGTTCTCCAGGTTTTCACCCCATTAAGTAGAATTGTTTTGATTTTTGTACTAGAAATTCGGACTTTGGTGTTTTTGATAGTTGTTTTGAGTTCCAGATGTAGTTCAGTTGCTTTGCCGATCTGCGCTATCACATCTGTATCAGGTCAACCTTGCACGTCAATGATGCTGCTCAGGTATGTAAAGGTGTTTATATCTTCAATAGCTTTGCTACCTAGTGTTATCTGGTTGCGCATGTTGTGTTGTATCTGAGAATCTCACTATTCCTTTTGTGTATATTCAGGCTGACTGCTGTTGAGGCTACTGCTACGCTGGACGTCTTCTGTTGCATTTGTTATTGCGTTTGAGGTAGAAGAGAATGATAACCTCTCACATTGTTCAAACATTCCATGTACCTAAACGAATGGTTGCTATAGTCTTGAGAAAGGGCATCGGCCTCGTGACTCGAAGGAACTCGGCTTTCTTCATTAGGCGTCATAACTCTTCCAAATAAAGGTCTTCTAACTCCCAATAAATGATGTGAACTGACTTTTCTGGTTAGAGTTTATGTATCTATTTAGTTTTCTACTGGATGGGTTCGTCAACATCATGCCCAACCCGCCTCTTTTATTCAAGCTTGGGACCAGTAGTAACCTCAGAGGGTTTCTAGGCGGAATTGCATGCGCTCTAGTTTTCATTATTTTTCCACCTGTGAACTGGTCTTTATGAAAGAAACCTGCATATTTATAACATAAGCAAAAAATACTGCATTTATTCATTGATAAACGTCTCAACAAGACAGAAAATATTATGTGAGAAAAATTTATCCCAGATGTAGTGTAACAGAACGGTTGCGGTGAAAATAATCTCACAGTTTGATTTCGTGGAAGAATGAAATTTCTGAAATCAACTTTGTGCCAACAAATACTTCATTGTTGTATTGAGAATGATCCTGTATAAAACATCACACAAATTAAATCTTGGATTACACAGAAAGTATACACGGAACGTAGGGCTTACACAGATATAGTCATAACCAGCTAAATCACGAAACCGCTCTATAGAAATACACTGACAATCTAGATTTTGACATTCCAGGATAAAATAAAATTATACACTGTCATTACAACCTGTCGTTTTTCAATTGTTTTGCAAAATCACGGAGATATTGACAGACTTACACTATTTACTCATCAAAACAATCGACAATCATACTGAAACGAATATGCCAATGAAATAGGCAATGCTGTCATGACCAGTTTGTTCATGTCATCTTCTATTGATCAGTCTGTTGCCATTACAACATTCCAATAAACTTCAGTTGTCATTTAGACACTACACTATGACGACAAACAGGATCATACGTTTTAACGAACTAAAACTCTAAAATACTTGAACTGGAATGATTCTAAACATTGACAATACGATCGACCATCTGATCATTATTCAAAATACCAACAAAGCATTAAGTGTTTTACTGATGTAAAAATTGTAAATGTTGAAGACAATTTCGCCTCGTTCTACAGTTTGTACATTCAAAGGTTACATAGTTCAAGATATAATCGAAATATGTATGTGAATAAGGTTAATGGAAATAATGGTAACAAGCTTTCACATTCATAAACAATCCATGTCCACCTACAGATCAACCGTATTAAACTGCTGACAGTTCACTTGATTTTGTAAGTTTCACTGACAGCACTTTCGAAAAAGACAATTTGTATCAAACAGTTATATCTAAAACTAATTTAGATAGCAGTATCCTGGTAATGCATATTTTGTAGCGTTTATGGAAGCTTTATAAAAGTTTCGTGAAGAATATCTTCATCACTGAAAATTGATCTTCCAACACATTATTCCGAATAGTTTTTTCTTCAACAATCTATTGCAACTTAAACAATGTATGAGTACTTCTTTTCAGTTTCTTTAGTTGTCGATTTGTTTAACTCAACTTCTGCTGTTTGGGAAGTCAGGTCATTTGATTCTATAATAATATTACATTGAATAATGTCTATGGAAGACTTGATTTTGTGATTACACTGGATACACATCCTTGTACATGATTCTTTGTAATTGTGCATGATTGATGAAGTTAGTCTTTGGATAATTAGTCTGTTATTTCAGTAGTACATAAGGAAACCAACGTTTCTACTCCTTATTTCTACTTTGCGTTAGTCAACTCGTTGCTCATACTTAGATAGCTCTTTCCAAAGTTCAAAACTCGATAAATGATGTATGTTTTACATTCTCTAATCTTTCAGTGTTCCCTTGTGGGCTAGAAAGTGAGTCTTTCATTGTAGTTTCTGTAGTAGTGTGATAGTGAAAGTATTTTCAACAACGTTTTGTGGATTAGTTCCTGAACTAAATTCTGAAATCAGTTTTATCGAATTAGATAATAAAAGACATCAAAGGATTCATGTTTGAACTCCTTTCTCATTTTCAAACAATAAGTAATTGCAGAGGCTCAAATATTAGCGTAACAATAACGTCACATTAATTTGAAATCTGTAGAATGCCGGATCAGTTTGAAATATTTCTCTCACATTTTCGGAAGTAATTACCATCTCATGTTTATTTAAATCTGTTAGCTTGACCGTTAACTCTGCTTATTTGTAATTATAACTTCAATGTTTTCATGCCTGATAATTTCTGATTTCTCACTGTTTACACTTCATCAATGATATTTGGTAACCTTAATTACGCAATGTAAAAGAAAGATAGTAGTTAGAAAACGCCGAACCTAAGATTCTGTGGGATTGAACTCACGCGCTAATCAGAGAACCGATTCATGAAGTGGGATTCGGGTCAGTTTTATCCAGTTTCATTGTCTAAGATGTTACTAATTCTCTGTTCATACTAGACGTCATCTGTAGAATGTCAAGCCACTTAGATTGGTGTTCGAACTTCAAGGAACTAGACAAACACGACCTTAATCAGTCATCCTTCTTTGTTTTTCTTTCTTGAATATATATATATATATATATATATATATATATATATATATATATTTGTATTATCCAGTGATACGACCAAATTTCTTAAGAAGTTTAACATTTAGTTATCTTCTGATCTTCTCCGTTAGCTTCATTGATTCGTGTTGGCTAACACTGCTGTGGTGGCGTATCACCTGAAGCAACTCGATGTAACTCCAATCGTTGACTCACATTCCAAAACTCAAGATCGAAGACAATACACATCAGAGTTTAGGGAAAACTGAGAAATGAAGAGGGATGAAACGTTCTTTGGAATTGTAGTATCAGCCATCCACAATTCTGATTGTTTGTTAGCTTGCTGTTTAGAAAGAAAGACATCCAGTCACAGTGGGAGAGTGTTTTATTACCCTAATCATAACATTTACTTGTAAATTTTCACTTGTACATGCTCTTCTGAAGAAAATAATGTGGGTTAACTAGGTTTTTGGGCTCCATAATTTATTTAAACGTTTAGGAAGAGAAGCGAGCTATATAATAGTAAAATATTCAAACGTGAGATGTCTATTGCACATTAGCGTTACAGATCAAAACAATGCAATGTACGCCATAGCAGCTGGTTTGACCCAAAGTTTCATCACCACTGTTCGTTGTTCATTTTACAACATATTTTTGTTGTCGATTTTACATGCTACTTATATCCATTTATTAGTAACCCTACAAATGCACGGTTTATTTCCATTTTTACTTTTCATGCATTTTGATCAGCCCCAAGTTCTACATTCTCGAGTAAGTTAACTGTTCTATTCTTCAGTAACACAGTTATTTATCTGATGTCATTTAAGGTAGACAATAATTTCATTCAATATCATCACACAAAAGGTAGTTCCAATTTAACGGTTACATTCCATGGACATTTCATTGGTTCACAAATTTCTTCATATTCTTGCCATTGCTTTCTACTAATATAGTGCAATGCTCGATTCTTAGATTTCGATATCATGAGTATGGAAATAGGACTGTTTATGAGAGGAAAGCAATGTAGTTGAAGTAGGATAGTTGTGATTATGTCCATGAACATCGATGAATTAGGAGAGATGTCATCTCAATGCTAGAATATTGACTGGTTGGTGAGAAAAATTACTTTATGAATATGCATATGTTTGTTTGATATCTCTATCCTGATATCCGTTTTCATATGAATTCAGAATGATAGTAGATAACTATGTTCTCCAAATATATAATGGAAGTGCAATTTTGTAAGCCTATGTTGACTGATAGCTGTCCTATAACAAAAACCAATTTTACAGCTTCAATCCTCAGAAAAAATAGTCAGTTTTAGTGAATCATTCAATTATTTGCTAATAATCGTTTGTTAGGCTACGATTCATACATTTGTCTAGACTAAGAACACTTGAATTGTGTTTGTCCACAAATCGTTCTCGTAAGCATGTGCATTCAGAAATACCAACTGTACCAGAAATATTTGTTTACAAACTCTCAAAATAAAAAATCAAGTCTTATGGTGTTCAACTTCAAATTGTTTAGAACTTTATCCACTAAAATTTATCAATTCTTTCGTCCATCATAAATGATAGTACATAATTATTTATGTGTGATATTTCTATTACAGGAAGTTAGCACAATTTGTGCTAAGTAAGTCGTGACTTTGATGAATGGTTACGTAATTCTTAGAAAGTGAAAATGTTGATGATTATCTTTTACACATTTGAATTCATCAATCAATCATTGTTAGACTACCATTAGGAACCTGGAAGCACTGGACGGCCGTTTTGTTCCTGGAATGTGACTCATCAGCAGTGCGCATCCACGACTCCTGCTCGTCGCAGGATTCGAACCCGGTACCTTCGGAATTGTAGGCGAACGCCTTACCATCGGACCACTGATGAGTCCCATACCAGGACGAAACGGTCGTCCAGTGCTTCCAGGTTTCTAATGGTGTTCTAACAATGATTGATTGATGATTTCAAATGTGTAAAAACGCAAACCTCCAAAACTCTGCCCCAAACAAAAGATTATCTTTTAACAGAATAATAAGTTACGTCTGTCTACATTTAAATCAAAACTTATATGACCACCACACTACTTGGAAATTTTTCCTGAAAATGGTTACGAGTAGGATGATGATGCAGACTAACTATTGAAAGCTAATCAGCGTGTGGATCTTGTTTTTCATGCAGACTAGTTGTCCAGATAACATTTCAATCATAAATACTTACATTTTGATAATATAAGTCTTGATTGGTACACTTTCACGTAAATTATCCGAACAATCATTGCTACTGATTCTGATAGTTTGAACTGTCCAACCCTGAAACATGATCATTAACTTTACTGATTTCATATTCAGCTCTATATTCATGAAGATTCATTGATGTGTGTCTCATTTACAAAGTAGTTTCTGGATAACATGGATTTATTTACTTAATTCTGTGGCTAATCGATGCCTTCAAGAATCTAGAATACTATTATTCAAGTTGAAAGTAATAATGATTTATGTGCAAGTTGAATTAAATTCGTTCCAGTTAAAATTTATTCAATGTCGTACTGTATAAAAATTGTATTCTGAACTCTAATAATGATAAACTTCTTGATTAACAGATATTCCAAACAACATAATCTCATTTGTAAAAATGGTGATTAGTTTCATCTTTTTGACAACGTAAGTGAGTTTTAGTCAACAAAATTATCAAAATTTAGATTATGTGTGCTTGTTTAGTTATTCACATCGCATAAAATATTATCTATCTGGGACTGACTTGATTTTTCAAGTTATTGTGACTTCAATGAGTTATCCATGACAGTTAACAATCACTCCAATCAACATTGAATTGTCTCGTAATCATGAAATAATATTAGTAAATAAAGAATTACGGTGTTTTCTTGAAATACAATTCACGTAAACGTAAAGAAAAATAATTTTTTGAATTAATTATGATATTTCACATGAACAACCTCATCTACAGATGTGAAAAACGAGAATGTGTTTAGTCGTAGCTTACATGTCATGGTAATGTTTGTCAGGTCAACAAACAAATTCTAAATTACTTATTACTTATTTAGTTAGATATAATATTTTAGAACACCACATTCACATGGATGACCGATACAATTTATGCTTTGAATGGATCTCAGCTGTCAATTTACTTTTTAAATTCCATTTAACAGTTTACAAACACACACAACTGAAAATATCTCAAATATTTCATAATCAAGACAATTTTAAGGGAATATTGTTCATATGATATACACAATGATGGATTAAAACAGCTAATTGTAGGGTGAACAGTCATCATCATTGTTTTGACCTGAACATCTAAAATGGGATTTACATATGCCTAGGTGTTTCGCAATAAATAGAATAATTACATATTTTCGATGATATTGATTACCAATACTGAAAAAACCCAGTCACCTTTCATGATTAATCAGTTTGTATTTTAAAGATTGAAACAAGCTAACTTTGATAACTATGTGTGTTTATTTATTGTTCTAGACATACTACAGGATAGTTACGCTTCTGAAGTGAAGGCACCAACACACTATTACGATACTTCAATATGAGAATATTTTTCATCTGTTAACAAAAATACTATCAGAAAACTGAAATAATCATTCACATAACTCAATCATTTTTCCATTTAACACATTTTGTATTGTTTGCATAAAATTTTAAATAAACAATTGAACGAACAAAGTACTGTATTCTGTATTTGAGAATTTCCGTAATTCAGATAATTTAAAAGAACTAAGAAGTAAAAATTAATATTAATCAAGGTTCAATTTTCAAACAAACAACTAACATTTACAATGATCAAGAGTTATGCATAAACCATAACTATCACAAACTAACTGAATGAGATATTTATCTTGTTCATGATGAATTAAATGATATTTTTGATTTTCATTATTTAATTTCATCTATTTTAAGCATTCTTAAGTATTCTGTTTCAGTTTGATTGCGTGTGGTTTCTTGAACAAACTGAGTGTTCGATTACCTATCGAAGTTGATGTAAGATTTATTTATAATCAGTCAATTTTGAACTAAATGAATCAGAGTTCCAACTGGAAGTTATCGCATAGTGATATTTCACGAGAATATAGGATAGAATGTAAAAATGTTGTGATCAAAATTTACACATAAATTTCGATAAGTCGGCTTAGTGAAAGCAAGATCTGAGATCATATGCTCCTCTAATAACCCTATAGTAAATCTGCACTGCAACGTGAACACGAGAGGAAAGACACGAAGTAGGAGATGAACACTTTACTCGACGGTTTGTATATGCACAGATAAGTGAAGATTGTTATAGAGTTATTCAACTACTTGTGCTTCTGGAATGTTCGAGGAACACTCGAAACTAAATGAATCAGTGTTCCAACTGGTAGTTATCGCAGAGTGATATTTCACGGGAATATAGGATAGAATGTAAAAATTTTGTAATCGAAATTTACACACAAATTCTAATAAGTCACCTTAGTGAACGCAGAATTTGAATTCATATTCGCTTAATTACATTATAGGGAATCTTGAACACGAGGGAAAGGGCAAAAAGTAAGATATGATCGCTTTACTTGACGGTTATTATAAGCAAAGAAAATTGAATGTATTTATAGAGATTTGAACACAACCAATTAGGATTGTGGCACGTGATTCGCATTTTCAAGTCATTTTTGTGAAAACTCTTTTCAATACCGGTTTAATGCTGGCGTTCCCGGTCCTTACAGACATTTCTGAATGACACTTGCGGAATGTTCATCAGATTCCTGTAACTTAACTTCATTTTATTGAAAGTTCTTATTTATTTAATTAAGATATTTGTCATAAAATAAAAGTACTAGATACCGCTCACGAAAGGTCGAAACCGCTACAGTACTGAACGATCGTATTTTAAACTCTGATTACAAAGTGAATAATCCTTAACGATTTGGTGAATTACAAACCAATATGATACAAGTGATTTTTAGTGGCTCGTGTTAAATTCGATGTGAGGCTCACCAATCCAGTGCTCCGCGAATTCACTCCAGTTTTGATGAACGATCGAGTATGCGATGAAACAAATCCTTCTTTCCGTTTTACGTACATTTTACTCACGCAAATCCCGTTTGTGCGTTGGCGGTAATGAGAAGCCAAATGCGATTTCGCGACCTTGAGTTAATTTTATGCATTCAATAAAACAGGCGAACATGAGAACGGGAAGCGAACAAGCAAAACGAAGCAAAGTGAAGACAGAGAATGAGCTAACTGTAATGCGCCGGAGCATGACTAATTATTTCTAGTCAAGCAAAATAAGCTTTACATCTAAGAAGCTAGTAAGCATCAACACACACAATCATCTCTACAATAGTCGATCCAGTTATCGAAAGATTAAAAATTTAAAATTGGTCGATACAATTACCGAATACTTTAAGCGACTAATTAATAAAGCTGGTATAATCAGTAAATAGTGAGACGCTACTACAGATTCCTTTCATATGCTTGAACAAAGAAAGAATCATAGTACCTAACAAATACAATCCATTTTATTTCTTGTTCTCGTTATCGCAAAACTGATAACTGTATTGTGTATTACAAATAATCCTAAATTTATATCTTATAATTGCGAACGACATAACTGAATTCTCAGTTGTGAGGTTAATTAAACTCAACTGTGACAGTCTTATGCAATCATAGAACGTTAATCATTTACTAGACCTTCTGGTTCTGTACAGTTTTCGTTCATTCTTCTTACATCTGTCTCCATCTCGTGGCGTACTGTGTTCCTTGTCCATTTTTTGACGTTTGTGTTTATTTATTTTGAGACCTGCTTCTTCTGAGGCTGCAACTACATTGGTCGTCTTCTTTTGCATTTGTTGTTGCCTGTGCAGTAGAAGAGCCAGATCATCTGCGAATTCCAGATCGTCTAGCTGCATCCTGACTGTCCATTGTATACCGTGTCCCCCCCAAAATTTTGACGTCTTCATAATCCATCATAAGAATTCTGTATGATGTTGACCATATTCTCAAGGACTCCATAGGGTTGAAGGAGCCTCCATTGTGTTGTCCTGTACACTCTAGCAAATTCTTTCTCGGACTCAATGAAGTTGACATATAGTGGTGGCGAATTCCATTTAGTCAGTTGTTCCACAATGATATGATGATCGATCCTTACGAAATGCAGACTGCTGATCTGGAAGTTAGGCGTCAATGATATCCTCTATTCTTTTTAACAACACCCCATGGAAGACATTTCTTGGTATTGAGAGAGGGGTGATGCCTCTGTATTACTAACGCTTGCTCAGATCGCTTTTCTTCATGTTAAGGCATCTTTCTCTCCAATCTGTTGATATTTGTTTTTCATCCCAAATCTCGTCTCTAGGTATGCTTAAAACTATTATGGGTTCACCCTAGTCGAAAAACCAAAACTAAACAAAGAACCAGGATCCAGATAGGCTATTCTAATCTGATCTGAAAGTGTATTCTACAAACACCCAGCCAGCACACAATAAATCCGAGCACACAAATCGCGTTTACTTATAATCCATAGAGAGAGTCACAAAATAGCACACTAAACTGACACTAACCAATCACAGCAAGGCTTTTCCTGGTGGGAAATGTGATCTCAAGATCAATTGATCGACTCATGAAATAATTACAAGATAAAGATATTTATCGAGCGAGTTTTAGGGATCTAACAACCCCTGCAATGATAATGTGGACTATGTTTTCAGCTGATGCCTATGCTGGAAAGCTACATGTTCCTTCTGATTTGCCTCTGTTGATTTGTCTGTTGGCCATACTGATCTCTTCAGTTGCTGATTGGCCAACAACTATTGGTAGGTCCGTAGATGTTGCTTCGATGTTGGGTGGGTCCAATTGGGCTGGTCGATTTAAGAACTACTCTAATTGCTCTACCCACCTGTTTCGCTGTTCGATTTTTCTGATTACTTTTCCTTCCATGCTTATCTCTGGTCGTTCTGGTTTACGATAGTTTTCAGAGATCTTCCTTGTTGTATCGTACAAGTATCTCATGTTTCCTTCTCTTGCAGCCTTTTCCGCCTTCATTGCAAGATCTTCCGCATATTTTCGTTTGTCGGCTTTGAGGCTCCTCTTCACGTGCCTGATTACCTTTGTGTTTGTCTTGGTTATTCTGCTCTCGTTTGGCTGATGTTGATTGCTGCCCTTTTGTTCCTCCGTTCCCGAATTTTATAAAAGTTTTGAACAGAGACTCATTCATTGTGATGATACTTCTAGTGGCCGAGAACCTCCTGACATTTTGAAATGATTAAATCCTTGATACTTTCCATTCTGTTCAGTAGATCGTGGAATACCTGGAACTTATTGCTGCGGGCTATCTTTAAATGGATGTGTTCGTCAGTATTCCGAAGAGGCCATAGTAAACGCGATGTTGTCCGCCACGTTTTCTAGTGTTACTTCAGTTTCAGTTTTATTTTAGCGACCAACGAGTGTTGATCTGAAGCGATATCAGCTCCTCTCTTGGTTCGCACATCCACCATGGTCCTTCTGAACTTTTGATTGATCCAGATATGGTCGATCTGGTCTGAGTTTTTTGATTCGGTGAAATCCATTAGGCTTTGTCATGCGTTATCGAAAGAATACTGTGTGACCGATGATCAACTTGTTGAAGGCACATGGGTTTGCAAATCTCTCACCATTTTCTTTCCTTTCTCCCAGTCCATGTCCTCTCATGCTGTTTTCATAGCCTGTGTTGTCCATGCCAATATTGGTATTCAGGTCTCTCATCAGAATCGTCAAATCCATTGATGAGCATCTGTGGACGATTCATGCAGCCTTTCGTAGGACCTATACCTAACGTGTTAATTGTAGTCGTTGGTAGGTGCATAGCATTGTCTGACGTTCATTGTAATGTCCTCTTTCCGTGTTTTGAAGGATGATTTAACGACCTTGAATCCATGAGATTCCTATTCTATCAGTGCCTCTGTACCAATTTGAACAGCAGCAGTGCAAATTCTTGTCTGTGTGAAGTATTTTCTTCTTCATGGTCGGAGTAAAACAGCAGTTCACCTGAAGCTAGTCTCAGTTCTGCTACCTGCGTTCAGTGTGTTTCATTGATTCCAAACATCTCCAGGTTGTATCTTTTCATCTGGAACGGTCTCCCACATTGTTCGGACATTTCCTGTACCTAAACGAATTGTTGCTCTAGTTGCGAGAAGGAGCGTCGGTATTGCGACTTCCGGAGGAACTCGGTTTTCATAACTAGATGTCATAACTCCTCTGAATGAAAGGACTTCTAACTGAAGGTACAGAGTTTAAATGGTTTGAATTATTATTTCTGGTTCGCGTTTTTGTATCTAGTTAGCTTTCTACGAAATGCGGTCGTCGATCTCATGCCCGAATCTCCTCCCATATCCAAGCTTGGGACCCAGAGATATTAAAAGGGTAGTTATTTCCTGTGTCAACTGATTTAAATTTAGATACCAAGGTTTGTATCATTAGCAAGATCTGACTTCATGATTTCGGGTAAATTGGTATTCACAAAAATAATATGTT